ATATATATATATATATATATATATATATATATATATATATATATATAGTGTGATTTAAGTAAAATGCTCACATTTTAAGTGGAACATAAATTGTAAATGTGTTTTTATTTAATCTAAACGACTGTTGTTTTATTTTGTGAAATAAAAACACATTTAGACCAAACCATAAATAAAGAAATCTGTGTGGCGTGTTGGATCGGCCTCAGAAACAAACGATCGGTCGACCTCTGATTTGTTCAGTGAACAACACGACACGTCTCTGACCTGGAAACTGTTCGTGACCTTTTCCTCCTCCTGACAGAACTTCACCGACTGGTTTACGGTCTCAGAGCGATGCGACTCTCCGGACACGCTGCTAGAGAAAGGGTGCACCGAAGACCAGCTGCAGTTCTCCGTTTCCAGAAGCCAGATCCTGCAGGATCAGCCGCTCGGAAAGAAGGCCGATAATGCCAACAGCACTCAGATCTCCCCACAGAAGATTTCCCTCAAACTGCGGCCTGGTATGAAGTTTTTACCTTTTAATCAATGAGCTGCTTCTGGACTCGCTCCATTCAGAGCAGTGATCCAAGTGTTTTTGTGTCCCAGGCAGCGAGGTGACGTTTCAGGTTCACGTTCAACACACCGAAGATTATCCCGTGGACGTCTACTATCTGATGGACCTGTCGGCCTCCATGATCGACGACCTCAGTATGATCAAAGACTTGGGTTCTTCTCTGGCTAAAGAAATGGCCAAACTCACCAGTAAATTTAGAATGGGCTTCGGCTCGTTTGTGGAGAAACCGGTCCTGCCGTTCATCCATATCAAAGAGGAGGACCTGATCAACCCCTGCAGGTGATTTTAAAGCAAGAGCAGACCGATAGAAACCCGCAACCTCCAGAGAAACACCACCGTTTCACGGTTTTCAAATGAGAAGTTCAAGTTGCATCGCAAAGTTCGACTTAAAAACAAAAATACCTTAATATCAGCAAAAAAGGCTAAATTGTGTCATCTGGACCAGTTTCTTTAAGTGAGAAACGTTTCGCCCCCATCCCAAGGACTTCGTCAGTCTGCGGCCTGCCAACTCTTCACTGTTGTTTCAAGTCAACCTCCTGCTGGAATCTCAGAATTTCTTAGAATGAACCTTACTAATCTGTTTTGCTGCCTAAGTATCACGCACTACTTGGTAAAGATTATATTATGGTAACAAATACTAACATCCAAAACATTTTGATTTTAATGCACAGGAGACAGATCTGAACTAGCTGTTCACATGCAAAAGGAGGATAAGTAGAACAAGTAGAAAAGATAGTTCTGGATGTCATCAGCAAACTGGTTGATCCACTATGAGAAGGTGCTGCTTATAAGACTGTGTTTGCTGCAGGGTCTCATACTGAAGAAGTCCTTTGGATGAAAGACGAAACGTTTCAACAAAGAAGAATCCATCCAGAGGACCTGACTCAACCTTGTTAGATTCATCTGCCTGGATTATTGAGAATGCAGCAGGACAATTTGTGATCAGCTTTTTCATCAAAAGTATTAGAAATGCATTTAAATTTATTTTAAATATAGCATCAGCTAAAATAATAATCAAAAGGCAGAACTTTAGTCTGCTCTTTAAGTAACGAGGGCCTGACAAGTTGGTTTTAGTCATTAATTAACTGTTTTTAACCTCCTGAACAAGTCTGCAGTAGTTAGCCGCTAACATGCTAACGCTTGTAGCTTGTTGCAAACGTTTGCTTTAAACTGGCGATAATTTAAAAAGAGTTGGGCATGGGACAGAACGGTGGTGCAACTGGTAGAGCTCCTGCGTCTCAGCGAGCAGGTTACCCTGGTTCAAATCCCGGTCTGGGGGCCTTTCTGGATGGAGTTTGCATGTTCTCTTGGTGCATGTGTTAGTTTTTCTCCAGGTACTCCAGTTTCCTCCCACAGACTGAAAACACGCATGTTAGGCTGATTGGTAACTCTAAATTGTTCCTAGGTGAGAGTGAGAGAGTGAATGGTTGTTTGTCTCTATGTGCCTAGGCCTGTCACGATAACAAATTTTGCTGGGCGATTAATTGTCTTGGAAATTATTACGATAAACGATAATATATTTTTTTAATTTAACAATAATTAGTAATTATTGACAAATTTAAAAATAAATGTTGGTAAATTTTTGTGTGTAGTACTTTTTCGACCACCAGATGGCAGTATAAGACTGTTTGAACCGAAGAATGGATAGTGAGGGAGCAAGCAGCGTGTCTCTAAGAAAAATGGGCGGGAGGCCCCTTGACGTGACATGGGCTGTCACTCGTTCCGGCTTTTCTGTTCTAAAAATGGCAGACGCTCAGTGTAGTTTGAGCTCTTTAGCATAGCATTTTTCACACAAAGCTTTTAATAAAAATCAGTAAACAAGTTGTCAGCTTATTTTAACAGAAAAAAACAACAATTTTTTACACGAAGGCACGAGTTTCAACTGTGAATTTTGGAGCTTTGACAAGACTGTTAGCTTAGCTGCTTTTAACGATCCAAAAATGTGATTTTGGACGGTTAAAACAGATTTTAAAGATAAAAGGGAAAGCGAGGGGTCAGTGAAAAGCACTGGAGTTGAGCCTTTTGTCGTCCAGTGTCTTCAATAGAAAGAGAGAGACACGAAGAAACAATAAAGCCGATAAATGAAAATGAGGTTGATAATTTTCATTTATCATGTGATTAATTGATTTATTGCGACAGGCCTGTATGTGTCCCTGTGGTGGACTGGAGACCTGTCCAGGGTGTTCCCTGCCTCTCGCACAGTGACTGCTGGATATGGGCACCAGTGACCCCCGTGACCCAAAAACGAAGATTGGGGTAAAAGACAATGGTTGGCTGGGGGTGGGCATGAATTCTGGTAAACAAGTCATGACTGACCAGGTTATTTGATGGATAAGTTATAAGAAAAGGGGAGTGCTGCTCGGCGCTCCATGAGACCGGAGAGAGGAGCGAAAAACTAAACAAATGTTTTGCCTCTGGTATGCTATTAAAAGGTATTTAAAGTGTAGAAATGTGATGACAGAGAAAGTAGAAGTTTTGACTCTTTAACACTGTGGTTGAAACCGCTAATCTGATTTTGAACAAGAGAGTCGCCAACGGCACATTATACACCCGCCGACAAACTATTATACAGCAAGATACAACAACGAGCCGGGCAAGACAGACCTTGTAAAACGGTTGACCTTGATTTGTGACCTTGACCTTAGAGAAGGGTGATGAAAAGATTGCGGTACATGTCGTGTAGCGGTGGTACAAATTAGCATAAAGTTTTATTAAATTATTTTGAGCTGATCAGAAGTTATGTGCGGGACAAGACAAAGTTTACAGGTTACACTGTAATATGCCTGCCTTTCAACAGGCGTATAAAATGAAACTCTAATCACGGGCTTTGCCAATTTTTGCCATTTATTTCTGTTTTTATTTACTTACTGATATCCCACAGTGATATCCCAGGTATGACTTGCCTGCCAACGTTTGGCTACAAGCATGGCTTGTCCCTGACGAGCAGCACCGACAAGTTCAAGGAGATTGTGTCCAAGCAGCGCGTGTCTGCAAACGTTGATATACCAGAGTGTGGCTTTGATGCGATCATGCAAGCATCTGTTTGCGGGGTAAGATTAAAAACATCTCGTTTGAGTTTGTCGTGAATTGCCGAGTCAACATAGGGATGTTTCTGTTCTAGGACAAGATAGGCTGGAGGAATGACTCGATGCGTCTGCTGGTGTTCACCAGCGATGCTGATTCACACTTCGGGATGGACAGTAAATTGGCTGGAATTGTGATCCCAAATGATGGGAAGTGTCACCTGGATGCAAACGATGAATACTCCATGTCCACCGTACAGGTAAATGAACTGACCTGATAAAGGGCCAAGGCCACCGCCCTGAGAGGCAGAATTTTTCTTTGTGTGAGGTCGTCTTAGATAAATACACCTTTTTTCAGGAGTACCCAACTCTTGGCCAATTGATTGATAAGGTGGTGGAGAACAACATCCTGCTGATATTTGCTGTGACTGAAGAGCAGATAAACAATTACAAGGTAATAGCACTTTTCTAAAAAGTCATTTTTTCTAATTGAGTAGATCCAAAGCAGAGAAATGCACGTGTCTGAGAGAGTATAATGCTTACTGAAGCCTACAGAAAGCCATTTGTGTATTTATTTGATATTTTTTATATCAAACATAATTTTTGACCACTATTTTAAAACTACACTGTACTAGTTGCCCATTTGGACACAATAGTTCAAGAAATGATTTTACTAATAACACTAAAAGTGGCACTTCTGCTGAACTAACTGGAGCTAAATCCATATTAGTCAGCCCTTTTCCACACTAGAAGCCCAACAGACCCAACTAGTGGGCTTTTTGCACACTGGAGCAAATTTGTCAACTGCACCATGCAAGTTAACTAGAAAGCATCATAAATTCTAACGTTAACTAGTCAACAAAAATTATTCTTAATAGTTGACAAGTCACTGTCAAATATGCAGAATATTTGACTAACTCCTACTTTTACTTGTAATTTTAGACTTATTAATTGCAGACTAGATTACATTTTTTTAGACATGCTAGTTATTTAGTTATGCCCAAAGAGCTGCAACTAAGCCATTAGTGAATAGTTTGGGTGTTAGCAGTTAACTAAAAAGGCTAAATGTAGTTGCACTAGTCGACTAAAGTGACTTCTTTCGGCTTTTCCCTCCTCAGGGGTCTCCACAGTGAGTCATCCTCCTCCACCTCTGTCTTCACTCCAACTACCTCCATGTCCTCTCTAAATGTATCCATATATCTCCTCTTTGTCTTTTTCCTGGCAGCCACATTTCTAATACCTTTCTACCAATGTACCCACTGTCCGTCCTCTGGACATGTCCAAACCATCTCAATCTGGTCTCTCTAACTTTACCTCCCAGTTGTTCAACCTGTGCTGTACCTCTGATGATCTCATTCCTAATCTTATCCATCCATGTCACTCCTAGAAGAACCTCAACATCTTCATTTCTGCCACTTACAGTTCTTTCTCCTGTCTTTTTGTCTCTGTCTCCAGACCATACAACATAGCTGGTCTCACAACTGTCTTGTAAACTTTTTCTTTGACCTTTGCTGACAACCTTTTGTCACAAAAAACTCCTGAAACTTTTCTCCATCCATTCCATCCTGCCTGGACTCTCTTTTTCACCTCTTTACCACACTTGTCCTGGACAGTGGACCCCAAGTACTTGAAGTCCTGCACCTTTGTGATCTCTGCTCCTTGTAGCCTCACTGTTCAACCGGCCCCCCTTTCATTCACACATGTACTCTGTCTTACTATGGATGACTTTCATTCCTCTTCTTTCAAGTACATACTTCCACCTCTCCAAGTTCTCTTCCATCTGTTCTCTGCTCTCATCACAGATCACAATGTCACCTGCAAACATCACAGTCTTCTGGGATTCCTGCCTGACCTCATCTGTTAGTTGGTCCATCACCAGAACAAAAAAGAAGGGGCTCAGAGCCGATCCTTGATGCAATCCCACCTCCATGAAGCATCTGTCACTCCTACAGCACATCTCACCACTGTCCTGCTGTCCTCATACATGTCTTGTATCGGTCAACATTTTGTCATGTGCTTTTTCTAAATCCAAAGACACAGTGGAGTTCTTTCTCACACTTTCTGTACTACCACATCAGCATCTTGAAAGCAAAGATGGCATCTGTGGTGCTTTTTCTCAGCATGAAAAAAAAAACTGCTGCTCACAAATAGTCACCTCTCTTCTAAGTCTTGCTTTCACAACTCTCTCCCAGATCTTCATCGTGTGATGCATGATCTTAGTTCCCCTGTAGTTGCTACAACTCTGTACATCGCCCTTGTTCTTAAAAATGGGCACCAGCACACTTTTTCTCCATTCCTCAGGCATTTTCTCACTCTCAAATATGCCATTGACTATTTGAGTCAAAAACCTCACTGCCATCTCTCCAAGACATTTGGAAACCTCCATTGGTATGTCAACAGGTCCTACTGCCTTCCCCTTCTTCATTCTTTTCAGAGCTTTCCGGACTTCACCCACACTAATCTTTCCCACTTCCTGGTCCACAATTTGTATGACCTCTATTCTTCTTTCATTTTCATTCTCTTCATTCATTATCTTCTCAGAGTACTCCTTCCATCTTCCCGTCACACTTCCCTCACTTATTAGAACATATCCATTCCTATTTTTCATAAGCCTAACCTGCTGCACATCCTTTCCAGCCTGATCCATCTGTCTAGCCAATTGGTACAAGTCTTTCTTGCTCTCTTTAGTGTCCATCCTCCCATACAACTCATCATACGCCTTCTGCTTTGCCTTTGCGACCTCCCTCTTTGCTATACATTGCATCTCCTTATAGTCCTGTCTCCTCTCTTCTATCCTCTCACTGTCATATTTCTTCTTGGCTAACCTCTTTCTTTGAGTAGCTTCCTGCACTTCACTATTCCACCACCAGGTTTCTTTATCGTCTTTTCTCTGTCCAGATGACACACAAAGTATACTTCCTACCCGTCTCTTTAATTACAGTTGCTGTAGTGGTCCAGTCATCTGGAAGCTCTTTATTACCACCCACAGCTTTTAACAGCTCCTCTCTGAATCTCTCAAAACATTCTTCCCTTTTCAACTTCCACCATTTAATCTTCTTAACTGATTTTACTATTTTTATTTTCTTCACAACAACAATCATTCTACACACAACCATTCAGTGCTGTCTGGCCATGCTATCCCCTGCCACAACCTTACAGTCTTCAATCTCTCTCAGGTTTCCTCCTCTACACAGAATGTTGTCGACCTGCGTACTTCCTCCACTTTTATAGGTCACTCTATGTTCCTCCCTCTTTTGGAAATAAGTGTTGACTACAACTATTTCCATTGTCTTGGCAAAATTCACCACCATCTGTCCTTCCTGGTTTCTTTCCTTGACACCAAACTTACCCATCACTTCCTCATCCACTCTGTTTCCTTCACCAACATGTCCATTCAGGTCTGCTCCGATCACCACTCTTTCCTCCCTGAGAATACTCTCTATCACTCCTTCCAATATGTATCTTTCTCCTCCACATCACATCCAACCTGTGGAGCTACTTCTACCTTCAGACACATCACACTATCTGACACTCTTTTCACCTCTACTACACTCTTTGCAACTCCTCTTTCAGGACCACCCCTACTCCATTTCTCTTTCTAACCACACCATGGTAAAACAGTCGACTAGTATGACTAAAATTGTTGAACTACTTAACAAGTCAAAAGTTTTTTGTGCAACAGTACCAAAGGCAAAAACGTATCAAGTAGACGACTAATGAGTAGTAGAGTTTATTAGCTAAGAAATTATTTAGGCTTTGTAGACTAGTGCGGGGATTTGAGAGAGTGGTGGCAGAGAGATAAGAGAAGGCAAGTCTGTGCTCAAAAAGTTGTTGGTGTGAATCCCCAGATCTACAACAAAAATGTAGGTGGGAAAGGTGAAACACTCAAATGTGTCTATACCCTCATTTTCCCCACTTTGGGCTCCTGAGCAACACCCTTAATCCCAGCTGCTCTCTGGGCACCTTGAATGGCAGCTCTCTGCTCCACACAGAGGGCTGTGGTAGCTCAGAGATCTGTGGTTGTATCAGGAAGGGCATCCTGCATTAAAAAAATTCTAAGTCATTGTGGGCGTTTGCTTGATGTGGCGACCCCTGAAGAAGGGGGCTACCTGAAAAAAAGACTAGCGTGTGTATTTAGAAACCACTAGTCATAAAGTTTGCTTAATTTGGTATGTCTAGTTGACATGTAAGGGTTTTGCTGATAACTAGTTAACTTGTTCGAGAACAATTGCCTATTAGTTTTGTCTGTTCTTCCGCTAGAATTTTTAAAACCCAACTAGCTGTGACTTTTGGGCTTTTAGTGGGACAGTTATGCTTACTCATATGACTTAAGCTCCTGCTATTTAGGCAAAGTCCCACTAGTTGGCAAGAAAGTTTTACTAGTAATAAGAGTGTTGATGAACTAGTGCCACCAAAATGTTGAACTAGTGCTACTAAATGTGCACCTTGTGTAGTGTAGCTGTAAACCAGTGGGCAAATCCACAAACAGCTTGCAGTAGAGATTAATGTATCTCTCTTTTGAGCTACATTCCCATTCAACCTGTTAGAACTAGCCCAGTTTGCTTCGTGTTGCCCTTCTCCACACTTATTGCTTCTGTGAGTATGAACAAGGTTACCCACATTACAGCTGTTGTGTATCTGTTTTGTTTTTTTGTTTTTTTTCCTAGAACTATGCAAATCTCATACCCGGAGCCACAGTTGGAGTCCTGGCAAAAGACTCAAGAAACGTCCTGGAGCTGATTGTAACGGCGTATAAAGTAAATAAACAGTCCCAGTGAACTGGACGCTGGAAGATGTGATAAGAAGTAAAGTTAGAAAACACCTGCCAGTGTCAGCCTTTCTCATTTACTTGTTTTCTTTGGTTCTCCTTTTCTTTCATGACATTTTTACCTCTGCCATCCTGCACCAACATGTTGGACTGCAGGTTTCTGCTTGTCCCTTCTGTTTGATGTCCTCCTCGCCTCTCGGATTCTGACTTTCTTTTCTCTCTGCTGTGCTTCTGTCTGTCTTTATCCTGTCGTTTTATAAATCCCCCTGGCAGCGGTGACTGGTGGTGGCGTGCAGTCCTCTAATTACTTCACAGGTTACGTCGTTTAAAGTCTAACCACGCCAAGAAAGGAGTCACTGCCATCACTCTGACTGTAGATGTTGAGCCTGAAAACAAACACATTTTAAGATGGTCATCAAATAATCTGTATATATAGTTAACAGGAGCTTTAAATATATCATTTTACTTTAATTCAGACATCTTTGATTATAATTCAACAAGTGCACCTAGAGGAATTTTTCTCAAACAAAAGTCCAAAACATAAAAATACCCACAGAGAAAAGAAATCCATGCAGGTAGTGTTCACAGAAATTGATATAAAAGTTAGAAATGTAGTAAATGGTAAATGGACTGTACTTATATAGCGCCTTTCTATCTTATTTCAAGATACTCAAAGCACTTTACACTACAATCTGTGTCCTCATTTACCCATTCATGCAGCACTCTACTAGATCTCTACAAAGCTAATCGAACAAATCATTCTAAAGAGACTAATCAGTGCTTTATCACATTCATACACTGATGAGACACACATCAGAGGCTATGAGGGGTTCAGTGTTTTTGCCCAGTAACACTTCAGCATGTGACTGCTGGTGGACTGAACCCCAAACTCTCACATTGGAGGACGACTGCTCTAACCACTCAGCCACAGCCACCCCTAGTGCCTCTTAGAATAATTACCGTAAATGCAATAAAAATGAAATAGGTCTAAAAAAAAAACAGTAAAACATTTTTAAGAAATTTACCAACCAATCTCTTAGTCCAAATAAAGAACTCAAGTCTGGATCTGGACCAAAATTGCTGTAAATGTGAGAGAAAACGCATATAATAATAATAATAATAATAATAATAATAATAATAATAATAATAATAATAATAATAATAATTCAAAGAACTATCTTTTAAAATTTGCCTACTGAACTAGGTATAGATCAGAATACATTTTTGTAAAGGTTTAGATCTAGATCATGGTTCACCATTTACTAAACTGTAACATAAATTAACATAAATACAAGAAAACATGTACCAGTAAAAAACAAACAAAAAAAAACAACTAACATAGTTCACCATTTAACGACCACTTAGTTAAAGTACTGTAAATGTAATAAAAGAATGAAGTTTAAAAAGTAATGTGTGTGTATATTATATGCATATATAT